ACGTGTATTGTTAGTTAAAAGTCAGTCTATCACATTTCAGCAACATTAGGTTAGCCTAAGTGTTCTTTTTTCCACATAATACATGTGAAGGCAGCTACTGGTATCCTAGTCTGTCTCACAGTCCCTGAACCACATTATTATCCCTGCTGCCAAGCTCTCTCTGCAGTGCTAAAGCCCTAAATAAAGCAAGTCTAGATTTCCTCAGGTTCAGGAATCTCTGCTCTCCCTGGGTCTCCTTTTCAATTTAAATGGGCTTGTTTGTTACTATCAAAATTATATATATTCAGAGACTAAGCCTTAGTCTATTGGTATCCCTGCTGACATATCGTGAAACAGACTGCAATACTGCTCAAATCAGGGTTTACCAATTACACTCTCACCTGTCAAAGATATAGTCTGGGCCATCATAACATTTAAAACTCATATCATCATCACAGAAAATGCCTTTTGTGTCATCATCACGTGTATATAGTCAATCTTTGTTAAATTCAGGATTAGGTGAGAAAAAAGACTGTAATAAGTTGAAACTCCGAAACAGTTTATTAATTTCTTTTCGTCCCTGTTTTTGTACCGACAGGGATTGGAAATGCATACGTGTGTGTGTATTGGATATATGCCAAAACATTTTCTGACTGCAACGCGTCAGACGTACTGATATTCTATCGTTTTGACTTACACAAATACGTAAAATGGAAAATTGCCAACTCATTTGATCATCATTGAAGACTATTTTAAAAACATTCCTGATAGCATTTTGTATTCTGATTTTGTATGTTATTATGGATACCCTAATCAAACACATTATATTTCAAGCCTAGCTGTATATGTGTTATGGATTTGATACGAGGGAAGGTTGTGCCACAACAAGAACCATCTTTCAATGTCTTTTGGTCTGACGCGGCTGACCTTCTGTCTGAAAAGATCCACCAGATCACGAAGGCTATCATTCAATATCGGACATTGAATATCACGTGATATTGTTGATCTCTATAAGTGGTTTTCATTAAAATGTTCCCGGTTTGTAAACTTGAAGTACCTTCCTTGAGTGGCGTTTTAGAAGTCGGGAAGAAACGCAACGACACCGCCTATAATACGAGTCTGGCATAGATGAGCAGCTGATCGCCGAAAGAGCAGGACAAATATCCTTGGTAATCAGGGAGTAAGTAAAAATCATTTTCATATTGTCTAAAACGTTATCTTTTATTCTTCGCTATCATTATGCTATACTTAAAAGGTAATCTAAGCACTTGCCTTTGTTTGTTGCAACACGTATGGGGAAAGATATTGTTCCTGAATTTAAGTTAAAGGTAATTCTGGCCAACATAAATTCAACTGCGATATTTTAATTTCTATAGGGGATATCAGGTCTGCTGCAAATAGAAACGATATTTGTTCTTTTTGGGGAAAGAAAGAGGAATAAACCTATTCGCCTACCTGACAAATCTCCAGCTGACTGGGCGTTGGTCAACCAACTGGAAGGTAATGACATCGCCTCTGATTCAGAACAACGCGTCCAGGGTCTCGGGAAGCGCAGCTGTAGGGTACGTGCCAGCCGGTTCAATTTGATATCGTCTCAAGTCCCTAGGGCTCAGGCCAGTTTTCAGCATGATACCTCTCAATCTGCTAATGATCAGCCTTTTCGAACAGGACAACGCAAAGGTGTACATCCTTTTCAGCAGTGTTTCGTCTGTGGGAGATATGGCCACCGGCGAGCGTCCTGTCCAGTTACCGCTGGTCGTCAATGTAACAGAGTACAGCTTTTCAAGTAAGCCGAGACGACAACTTCAGACAAGAAATGAAATCGGTACATGCGTCTCCCTCACTTCCGTCGACAGTGTTTCAAGGGACATCCAGCAGTGGTACGCACAAGTTTAGATTCACAGAACTGCAGAATGGTTGTGTAGAAGACGTATATTCACCTCCTCATGTTTCAGTGCAGAAACCTGGAAAAGGAGAGGTTAAATAATTCTTGTAAATATACGTGTGGAAACAGGATGTAACTTTTGAAAGTCATACTTCTCACATGAACTATTTACACAAAGGTGGTTTTATGTTTATATTTGAATACCGCCATACAGATATATGTAATTGACAACATACATTCCTTTGTTTTTCTTGGTCTTTTTCAGGGAGAGAAAGATATATCCAATTCACCGTGCTTCCATTCAGTATAACCTCCGCACCATGCATGTCACAAAATGTATTCGTTCCTTCGTTTGGCGTAGCTATGGGATCAACATCGTTGTATTCCGGGATGATGGGTTTTGGTTTCCGAAAACGTTCAACATGTGTGAGCCAGATTCCTCAGTTGTCAGATCTACACTGAAAAAGTCGGTTTTGTATATAATATTCAGAAATCTATTTGGTATCCCACACAAACACTGTCGTGGTGAGGCTTTAATAGAATACAGAATGGTACAGTATCTATTCCACAGTCAAAACTTACAAAAGCTTCAATTCAGATCAAATTGTGTATTGACAAATGTCCTTTCTTTTCAGCTCTATCCTTGGCTAGTGTCGCAAGGAAAACTGTATGTTTTCCCTTCGTTTATGGTAGCATTTACAGAATCATGACCAGATATATTTGTCAACAAATAGCTGCATGTAGATCTCGGAACGCTGTTTACATCGGACCTTATGCAGGTGGCATTTCAGAAATGCTTTGTCTTACGAACTAACAGTGCAGAACTGGTGTAGGCTGTGGTGTTCCCATTCCGTATATAGGTTCTTTATTGACTGGTCTCAGCCTGGGAAAGAGAAGTTAGTGTTATGCATTTGGCATTACTCAGTTACCATAATGATTTACAGGGCAGGGCCCGGTTGTTCAAAAGCCTGTTAAATTTTAATGGACCGTTAACTAGCCCTTAACGGTCCGTTAACGTTAAGAGAGCTAAAGCCTGTTGCTCAAAGCGCCGTTAACCTTTAACGTCCCGTTAGGCCAACGTTAACTTAACGTAAGGGGAGGGGGTACATTAGCTCACTAACGTTACCATTAGCATTAGTTCTAGGTCTAGCTCCATGGTGACAACATGGCGTTTATTGTCCAGCCTAATGCAGGAATTGATGAACATTAGACCACAAAGAAAACCTAAGGAATTCAGATTTTGTTCTGTTGAGTTTAATGAAGTGGAATTATGCCAATGATGCCGATTTCGGAAAGATTCCATTGACTACATAATATCTTTGGTTCGTGATGATGTGGAGAGAGACACAAAAAGGAACCATACTCTCACTGTAGAGATGCAGGTGCTAGTGGTGATCATCATGTACGGCTCTAGACAGAATCTGGGGCATATGTAGGTTCCCCTTCCTTAGCTGCTTTTGAATCCAGGGCTTTTGTATGCTCTGAATTCAGTCACAAGAAAATGTGAGTCAAACTGTACCATATATATATATATATGTATATGTATGTGTAATATATGTTTTAAAATATATAATATATTAGTTTTACTGATTTAATGGTGCTGCATTTGAGCCTGATATCAATTGTTCACAAATCGCCATTGTTTATGGAAATAAAAAGGCTGGATACACTTCTGAATAGTTGAACGTATATATTCCGATATCGTATGGGTCCCAGCACACGTTGGGCCGGATGGAAATAAGAAAGACCAACTTGCGAAACGTGGCGTGCAAGGTGGTTAGGTAAGGTAATTCAGACTCAAACCAAACGAGTCCGACACCATTTCAGTAATTCTGCTGGGAACTGTTGTGGGATACAGGAACTAACAGCCGACATAATTGAATGTCCAGGTCACATTACGCTAAATGTAGGAAGTGCAATACATGAGAAACTTATTTTCTCTAACTGCTCTTTCTTTTTGGGACGCAACTTATTTAGCAGTTTATGTCGAGACATCGAGAAATCTGATATAATACAGAAATGTGATTTATAGTATATCCATAAAATGTGCATTGACTACTAAACCATATTACGGCTTTCTGTTATATATATGTCTGATCTGATAGTGGGATGAGTTCTTACTTTTGAGAAGAGAAAAATAGTGAGTACTTGCTGTTTTAAGACATACACCAGATCATTAAACAGATTGATTAATAATCTGTTTTGCTCTTGTTTAAAGACAGTTGATGTATTTGGCACAAATAGGCTTTTAATGGTCCAAGTCGACCTAAAGCCAAATACCATACCAATACCAATCTGTGAACAGACTGTCTCAACCTGATCTCATTAAAATTAGATTTGTGGCGCTACCGCCACACAAAGATCTAATGACAAATCTCGTCAGCATGACCTTTCCCAACCTTGACCGACAAATGAAATATCTAAGACAACAAGTCGACATTAGCCAGTGAGAAAGCATCCATCTCGAGTTTCAAAGTGGCAACTTCCACATTATGAAATATTTCTTTCACATGTACACGATTAACAATTTGAAGACTGGACAAAAAAAGTTCTGAAATGTCCAAGTGAGTGAGTTATTATTTAACGTCACATCGGCAATATTGCAGCCATATCGCTGAAATGTCCAAGAGATGAGATGCTTGATGGGCATTTAGAAGTTGGAAGGTAACATAACAACGTATGGTATGGATTTACAACTTCTTTAATATTTACAACATGACGTTTCTGGGCTACTTCTTGCCCCTTCATCAGGTGAATCCAAGAGATGGTTCAAAATCGTATGGTAGTACATCCCATGTGTTTTGATAGTGTCTTCCGTCTGGAATATCCATTTTATTTAAGCGAGAGATTGGCGATGGTTTTACAGGAATCAGTTGAGCAGTTAGGAACTGTCGTTGGGAATACCCCACGTTAGCCGTTTTGATGGTGCACCATGAAAACGCATTCCAACTATCACTTTCTCGATCTGATAAACGACGATCTAATTTGTCGGAAAAAGGTCGTTCTGGCAAGACCCTTATTGGGAAGCCCTAAGAACTTGTTTCGTAAACACCAAGATTTCATTTTAATGAGACTGGTCAGCACAGCCGTGTGACCAAGAAACAGTGGTGCGTCTCAATTTGACTGTTTACCGCAGAATGTCAGTGGTTTGAATGGTAAGATATGAACGTGATTTTAAGTTTGATGTCTTCTGACTTTCAATCAGCTGTGACTTAGCTTCTATCAGCAAATATGTCATAAAATATCATGATAGCTGATTTCATCGTGCACTGAACATGTAAAAGGATCAATTCAATACAGAACCATACACATTCTGAGCAGTTTTGAAATATCCATTTGAACATCGAAAGAAGAAATTGAGCGATTACGACAATTGCGTAATGTATATTAACATTTCGTTCACTTCACAGTAACAGACATGAGGCATTTAACATTGCAAGTGAACTACTGTTAAATAAATATGAATGTTATATATATATAAATTACATTCTAGGTTAGCAGTTACAATATCATTGTTGCAGACTCGTGGAAGAGGTATATAGCAATCAAGAATGTCACGAGAACATCATCGATTTCTTGTGAATTTCGAAATGTTCTTGTTAGTAGACAATTAAATTCAAACAGTATTGCGAAACAATCCTTACAATGCACACTCAAATACAACCTCATTTTTGAAAAGCATTTTTGTGGTAATTGAGATTGTAAGTAATGTTCTCTTATAAATGCCAATCGATTTTAATGTCCGCCTCAGATAGATTTCAAATGTCAGGTTCATCATCTGCCACAACATTTATTTGATATTTATTTGGAAATGGAAACAATGATCGGATTTACCGGAGTGGTGTCCATGACAGGCTGGTGCTTTCTATTTAAAGAAGATTAGTCTCCTAGGACTGTCTTTGATTATAACAATGAAAGATACCAAACCATTTCTACAATTATAACAAATATCTCCTAAACCAAAGTTCACTGCACGTGTCCGACCATTTGATTAGCACGTGTTTATGAATTCCGATCAAACATATGATTATGGCTACTACATGTAGGTATATGTGAAAAATTCACGAAATGTGGACATGTCCTATGCAGGTTTAGAAAAAAAGGTTTGAAAAAATTCTTAGGTCGAAACTCTTCGCATGAAGATACGGTGCATAACCAACTGTGCCCTAAGCTTTGTCACTGAACTAACAGTTTTGTGTGAATAGTGTTTGACTATGCTAGTAATGCCTTCACATTACCAGAGTTGAGGATAGATCCCATGGCAAGGGACACACCGCTGATAATCAAGGCCTGTGAATGTTTACAAAAATGTATTTCTTCTTGGAAATGTTGTATTTATAGGATATCAAACGACCTTCCCCTTTCAATGAGTGATGAAAGTAGTACCGGTAATGTCAAAGTTCACGTATTAGCCAATCAAATCACTCGATGGTGTTATGAAACCCCTTTACGAACTACCACGTGTGTAATAAATATGTTTGCAGCAGACATGCCAATCACGATATCATCTGTGAAGTGGATCTCAAACAAACATGGGGTACCTACTTTCAAAGGGAACACATGGAGGTCCTAACCATGAAGGAACATGTCCAATCTCTAACAAACATTCCAGCTTCTACACTACCTTCCGCCCTCTCAATATAAAATACATGTAGTTTGACACTTTTGATTATATATGTGACAGTGCCTCACATTAACGGGTAAACCGGAGCGGCTGATAATATGGATACTAAAAAGCTCTCCTCATCCCTACACCCACTCTCATTGCCACGCATCCCAGCCCCATGCACATTCTCCTCCATTTCCCCATTTCACATAACGACCTAACTGAGTATTGGCCAGTGTGTGTTGTCTGGAACGATGCGCCGTGTACATGCGCCTTTCAGCGTGTTCGCATTCAATTCCAAGTAATACGAAGTAGAACTGATAGCATTAGTGATCGAGGAGACTGTTAGTTTTACAAGAATTGCTGTGAGGTTTATTGACGTGTCCACATATTAATGTATCCTCCGATTCAAAATCGATGAAATAGGATGTAAGTTTGTGTCATTGAAATAAGACATAACTCAGTCAACAGACACACAGACATTTTGGGGAAGAGTAATAATTTGCTGAAGTCACAAAATAAGTGATTCAATACTATACAATAATGCGATATCTTCTTTTTCGGGAACACCTTGTATCTTCACTATATTTAATAGTGATTCATGAATAGAAAAATAGACTCTGCCTTTTGCAGATCTTTCTTATGGATGTGTAAAGGGTTATGTCACTTTTGTACCATACACGTTTTTGAGAGCTGAATCATTTTCAGAAGGTGATGATACCAGATATTCGCGTGATGTTGAGCAGATCCTTCCCCACCGATGTCATCTGTAACAAACAAAACAAGTATGCATATGTAGGTCGATTGTGCACCTCAAAAGCCATTGGATATATGTTTTGCTTTCTGATGCGACATGTCCTCCGTATGCCTACCTTAATGAGTTTTCAAAACTTTACTGAGGCCTTGAATGTTACAACCTTGATTAAAAGCATTCAAGCAAGAGTCGCATTTGAATTTTTTTCCTCTTTCAATACAGCCTTGGGGAATGTCTTGCCCAAGGGACCTTCATGATTAGATCAGAATATATACACCTTTATAAAATTTAGGCACCTCTACACATGTTGACCTCTAACAGAACTAAGTTCCAATTCCGCTGATGTATGGTGATAATGGTAACAATGTTCATTTAAGAAATTATTGCAAGTGTATTTGTGGAATGTGTCTCTCAAACACACCCATGGGAGCATGTCCAGAAGCAACACTACGAATTTTCGCAAGTGCAGTTTGTGAACTTACCACATGTCGGTATTTAAACTGCATGGGTTACAATGTTCACATTTTTTTATATTTTCTGTCAGTATGGTACGACATAGTGCATAACTTCGGGATGACCTTAAACGAAATTGGTTGGGAAATGAATGTCCACTAAACAAATGTAAGTCGTTTGGTCAGCAAATAAAATGAAACCAATGAGGTGAAGATCGTCAGATCGTGTAGACACGGCACTGTTAAGGCTCACCCGACGACAACCATTCGCCACAAGCACTGTGCTGAAGCACCATTACTTACCATTTCGCTGGGTATTCACAACAACAATGTAGAATCGCACAATGGGAGCCTTGTAAATCTCTAAAAGGGCCATCAAACGTCCTCTTCTGAGTGATTATCACCAACATGCACGTTTGACTTTGTGTTTACCCCGGCAGCGCTAGAGTCTGAGGACTTGGCGAAGAATACATTGGTCCGTTGAAAGCCGATTCCTTCTTCTGATGGACAAGTTTTGAGACAGCGGAATACAGCATTTGCAGCAAAACCATTAACCAAATGTTGTCTTTGGTAGATGACTTGGTGACAAAACGTGAGAATATGACGGGTGGTCAGATTATTCAGAAAGTGCTGGATCCAGTTGTTGTCCCTCATTCTAATAACCATCCTCGTGCTACAAGGTCTGTATTAATAGATGACAGCACCGGTCTCGTGCAGTGACAGCTTTCATTCAGAATAATGCAGTGACTCATCTTCCGTGGCCCGCCACCCTGAACCACCCTGGAGCACATTTAGGACTTTATCAGGTGACAGGTACATGCACCTGTACCCCTGTTCAAAATCTCCATTTGCTAGAAGCAACTTTGCACCAAGACTGGCGACAGATGCCCTCGCAAGGATACAACGACTGACTGTGGGTATGCCACGCAGGGTACAGGCAGTTATCCAATGACGGGTAGAGTACACTAGATATTGATTGTACAACGTTGCCAGCTTACAAGGGAACGGTTTTCTCTCATCAAACACACGCCATGTTGCCTGGTCCTCTCTCTAGCACCATACTTGTAACGGGTATCAATGTGAGCCAAAACAGATGATGTGTGTATTGTGTCGTATCCATTATTAAAGCGTTGAAGGAAACTGACCTTTTTGTGTTTTCTTTTAGTCATCACACGATCTTATATGCGCACCACTGATGCTTGCCGAAACATACAACCCTTTTCTGGTGTATACATGAAACAGAGAAGCAGCCTCTATGGTCTCCTCCTATTTCTAGTTCATCTGGCTGAATCGGTGAAAGCGATCAGCTTTCGAACAATATCATATTAATAATATGTCTGGACCTCAACTCACCTGAGGTACTTTGTATTGATTTCGTAGAAATTAATAATATATTTTTAAGGAGAAACTTATCGTTGTTGAGCAACATCGACAAACAGGAATACAGTGCTCTCACTCAGTTTGGAGGTAATTTTGCTTGCAATATTGAATCAGAAAATAAGAAGCAATATGAAGTGAATGAGTGTTTGTGTATTTCTTTTTCCTGATATAATATGAATCCCAATTAAATTAAGATTTTCGGCATTATAAAGACGACTTTAATATCCACGTGTTTGTAATTAAGTTTAGAATGGATTGATATTCGGACATTAAATTTTTTTATAACCACTGTGTAATTGGCAATAGCACAATACGGGCCAATTATTGGCTTATAAGTACCATAGCCATTAATCTTATTGTCTGAATGGTTCAGTGCCATCGATGATCATTACTTTTGTTCATGTTGCTTGTTGTATTGAGTCACGAAAAAATATATCGAATTTAATTATATAAGCCTCCAGTAAACGAGTATTGGTTTACACAGTTTTTATTCATAATCCAATACCACGCCCGGGAACACCAGAAATGGACTTCAGACAATGTTCAACTTGGAACCCAAACCCGGGACTTCAGCGTCAAGACGCCAGAACCCTATAACCGCCAGGCCTTTTCGGACTTGTTTTTCAATTGCGTTCATTCATAATGGACAATGTCACGGTTACATGCAGCAAATGCTCCACGGCAAGCAAATCTTTGTATACTTATTCTGAAAATATACCTAGTGTTGTGATTTTTGGTCATCCAGGAATGTACGGATATAGTGTCTTAATAAAAGATGGGTGTTCTAGGTTCGTGTTAAGACATGTGGGATAAATACTGACGATACTGAGTTGGCATTTTTTTTTGTCATGAGTGAGGAAGGTTTTAGCAGTATTCCCGCTAAAGCACGGTGGGGAAATTGACTTCACCTATTGCAAAATGTGGGGAACCTGGCCCGGGTATTCGATGTGATGTCCGAACTCTTTAACCACATGGCCATCACACAGCTGCCTTTTGTCATGAAATGTACATGCGTTTGAAGTAGGATTGGCTTACATGTAACTCAAAATGTAAGATGGTTACCTTGTAATCCTCATGCTCGTCGTAATATCAATCGGGTTATCAGACTCAATGGTGACCTGGCTTCTTGGATGTCATCCTACCCGGTGTCCTCTATGTTTATATCGATCACTGGATGAAGTATTGGTAATGGAAGAACATAGGCACGACGTGCAGTAATGATGGATCCAACTTAGTGTGGAACTGATGCAGTTCTAACTTAAAAATACATGTGGGATCAATTAATGTCTGACGACGGTTCTCTATCGGGCCTTGACAGACAGAGGTCTGATATGAGTTTGAGTGAGTGGGTGAGTTTAGTTTTACGCCGCTTTTGGCAATATTCCAGCAATATGATGGCGGGGGACACCGGAAATGGGCTTCACACATTGTACCCATATGGGGAATCGAACCCGTGTCTTCAGCGTGATGAGCGAAAGCTTTAACCACTAGGCTACCCCACCGCCCCGATCTGCGTTTGAACTATGGTCGATAGGGGATGTGGCATCTAATGTTGCTGTAGTAATTTTATTCAAAAGAAGACTCCGCAACAGTCCTGCTTTTAGGATCATCTTAATATACGCCACTTTCTCAATGCAATGTGTTTGCAGTTCCGTGTAGGCATTTACAGAAGCACAAAATAAGTTTACAGATGTAACACTCTTGGAATGGGAAATGAAAATAACGTTGATGATGTCATGAAGAATATTTGTGTAAATGTGTACCAGTCACATAAACGTAAGAAAAGATATCTTGCAAAGATACTGACTGATCATTGTGACTTCGAGCATGGCGTTGTGCGTTTGCTTTATATTTTTATAATCGTATGCACATTACATGATATGCACTTGACAAATGCGTGGAATAAATAGTTCCAGTAACAAAGAAATGCAAAAAGATCAGAATGTTAAATAAAAGCATTTTGATTAACAATCAACTGAAAGCAAAACCAGAATGAGTGAGTATAGTGAGTGCCCGACATGGGCACAATGTGTTAAGCCCATTTCTGGTGTCCCCCGCCGTTATATTGCTGGAATATTGCTAAAAGCGGCGTAAAACTAAACTCAGTCAGTCAGTTAAATATTACCAAGTAACCCTTAACAAAACTTCATCCTCGTAATATATATGAATCATAACTGAATCCATCGAGATGTTTCGTCCGGGAAAATTATAAAGTGACATTTAGTAGACATAGATGTTTTATTACACTAAACAATGTTATATAAATAATACAGATTATCACAGAATAAATACTTTAACAATGCTATGCAACATGACAGCAAAACAGAAGCATGAACAACACAACGTTCCCGACACGTTTGCAGGTCATGCGATAACGATCTTAGAATAGTTACTCATCTTATTCAAACACTCGTGAAGATCCGCGTCAGGCTCGCTGACTTGGTCGACGCATGTCATCGTATTCCAATGCTCGATGCTCATGATGATGATCATTGGATTGTCTGGTCCAGATTCGATTATTTACAGACCGCCGCCATATAGCTGGAATATTGGTCAGTGCGGCGTAAAACAACAAACAAACACTTTATTCACATACAATTTCTGTAGAGTATGAAACAACAATCTGACGATTCCGATGAGGCAGATCATGAGTATCGCAATAATCAACAACTGCCGTTATGAGAATTACTTTCGTTTAATGCCGCTTTGAACAGTAATTACGTTATATCACGGCATGGCAGCGTGATGTGGGTGGAATGACCGTTGTGATGCTGGTGTTTAACATTTACACCTTCTGTGAAACCCACGGGCACTACTCCAAGCTCAGGAGATTTGGGATTCGCATCCTAGATCAAACCTTCCCGGCACGCTAAGTGGCGTCAGTCTGCATAGCTTATTGTGACGCCTACGAAGACTGCATTTGGCGGTGTTTGATGAAACCGACACGTATCCTATTAGGGTACCAAAGCGAGTATTGGCATATATTAGTCTATTTAATGCAAAATATCCGACACAACCCCACTAGACGACATGACATTCTACAAGGTGAATATTACCATAACCTTTAAAAGTCATATACCTCTAAAACAACGATATCACAAGTGTAAAAATGTCTCATAGAAATGAACTAACAGACCTGCCGTCAGTGGAATACATACAGTTATAACATAACAATAGCAATAATACATAAAGCATATATTTAACACAAATTCCGAACATATAGTTAAAATGGATGAACCCTTGGTGGCTGCAAATCTCAATATATTATTACTATTTACCAGTAATTAAAATTTTCTTGTAAAATATGTATGGTTTTATGATAACGTATTGCATTATACCACACAATAGAATACACATTGTATGTGTGTAGGGGCCGGGAGTGAGCTGTAGTTCAGTGTGTGAAGGTAATCAAAGAATTAAACAAGTGAAGATATACACTGAGGAAAAAGAATAAGGGATCACATGAAAGCACAAGTGTTCCTTTATTTTTTCCAGGTTTGTTCACGAGTTATGCATCAAAGCTTGTGAGGAAACCTGGAAAAACAATAAAGGAACACGTGTGCTTTCATGTGATCCCTTATTCTTTTTCCTCAGTGTATATATGCATCATTCATCGATATCATCACGTTCACTATTGCAAATCAGTAGACTATTACGATTCTCCAGCCAGGGGACTACGTTCTAAGTTACGTGACCGACGAAGACGTTATGCCATTGTGTTGGAAGCAGATCGAGACCACCAGTCCACGTGAATACAACATCTCGAAGGTTGGCATGGGCCTCTGGGAAATTCAAAAGCACGTTCGAACGTGTGTGAGACTTTTAACAGAAATTTATCAAAATCATTTTCGTTCAGTATACGGAAGCAGATACAACGATCTTAAACGTCAACCGATGAACTAGACGCACAATACAATGGCAGAAGAAAATGAGTGTCTTCGACTGTATTAGTTTTTCGTCATATGTAATAGGTTAAAGCGTTGGCTCGTCACGCCGAGGACCCGGGTTCGAATCCCCACATGGGTACAATGTTTGAAGTCCATTTCTGGTGTCCCCCGCCGTGATGTTGCTGGAATATTGCTAAAAGCGGCGTTAAACCAAACCTCAGTCAGTCAGTCATATGTAATAATTGTAGCTCATATGAATTGTCCATGTTAGTTGGCATGCTTGTGTTGGGGTGTTTTGCTGATCTATTGGAATAAACGCTCTGGTCATGCATATGCTGGAATATATTGTCCGATAATGCCAAGAAATACATAAGGCTAGCTTTCGCTTTCCTACTGTATGTATGGAGTTAAGTGCAATATAAGTACACACTTAATTATTCTATTACTGTATGTGTAATCAAATGCCAAATGCATTGGTTTACGATATGATCTTTCATTACAGTATAATGTCCGTCTATGTTACTGAACCCAAGTTTAAACTATCCCGAATGCTAAAAGCCTTGTAATCACACTAAATATGTATGCTTCGATAAATGAATTCGACTGGAAATAGGTATATGCTTAACTACCTTTAGTTTCATACATCACAAAGGACGATCTCGTGGTGATGAACCACCATGAACAGTTCATGCATTGAGCTAAATGAACCGGACATACGCGATCGAGGATTATAGCTGCAAGCAATCGTGTCATTCGTAATGAACTACAATTATTTCTGAACACACATCTTCTCCGTCTTGGATGCAGAACGTGCAAACTGTTTTAGGGATATCAAAAATCGTATTTTGAAAGCAAATTAAGGTAATAGTCCAAATGAAATCGCACATAATACTTTAAATAGAGCCATGACTTAAACATAATGCACTGGATAAACGTTAATGCGCAGTTAAAGGCAACAATGCTGAGCAAATATAAGGATATGTCTTCTGAAAACAATGAAACAATGAACTGTTCACACGTCCATACAAATACCGCGTAGTTGAGATTTGGAACATATACGCATGATTATAAACTCATAACTGTTCATAAGCATAACTACAGATAAACATTTCTCCAAAACATCAGAAGTGCACATTGAAGTTCGACAAGATTCAAAGTAAGGGAAAGTTCGGTCAACAGCCCATTATCGAGACAAACAAATACGAAACAATACTACAGTTAATACTGAAATATTCATACATGGCTGGATCGCTGAACTGGAGATTTCAAATGAGATAACCGTAGCAGGTTTCCTGGAGAAGCTTAATTAGGACAATCCCCAATTCACAAGGCAGTTAGCTTTTATTTATATTCTCATACAATAGTTAATATTGTAACTAAGCAAGTAAAAGCGAACACATGTGATACATTAGTAATATTTTAACAATCTTGACAACAAAGTAATGGAATCTGAGACACAGAAATTCATTTTTAAGAAGCTGGGAAATATTGAATATTTAGAGTTCACCAGACACATAATCACTATCCAGTTACGGAAGACGCCAGCGTCTTCATGATATTAAATATGGATTCCACCAATGGTAGAAATGCGTTCATTAAGTCCCACTTCGAGTGTGGCGAACACTGTAATATCACATCGCATGTAGAATGTGTAGAAGCGTGCACGATAGCCCGACACCAGATTAGAATGTGCTAAAAAGCGTCAGAAATGAAACCTTTCACAAATCATTTCTTTGATCTGAATCGATATCTTTGATTGAATAATAGATAACAATAAATATCTTACAACAGTTCCAATTAGATGGATACGCAAGATGAATGGTAATATATTATCATTTGAGAGCCAGTATAAACAACACAACTTCACTGCAGAGCATGTGAGGCAAAAGAACGGAATGTTCTGGTCTGACCAAATGACGATTTGGCTGCATGTACATAGGGAAGGGATTGACTTGAAGAGAAACGAATAGGGCGATAAAGGAATCAACAGAAGAAAGAAGAAAGAAAAAACATCCTTAATCACCCGGGTAATATATTTATATGAAATAATGTTAGGATATATAGCATGGACCCACCTTAGTTTCGTTTCGTAAGAGGCATAACGTTAAAGTTCCAGGATCACATTCCTTAATATTTCCTTGTTCTAGAAACGTTCACTTCCCTTCATACCTTCCATGTTCCTTCCTTGTCCACTCTATTTCGTTGCTTCATGGTTTCGCATCCTTTCATAATTTTAGGTCATTTCTAAGGGAAACGCAGACGCGCTGTTTCATTAATACTTCTGTAATAATATTTCCAACTTTCTTTACCTTTTCAAACTATAATGCTTCCAAATAGAAAATACATGTACATGACACATTTGCATATCAGATTACAATACATGTGTTTACTTCTACACATTTCCAACTGAGATACAACAATATGTTGCTATTCCCATCAATTCACTCCCAATCAGTCCGAGGATATACATGTTCTTAGACTGAAGGAAAGTATGACACGGTATGGGTACATTTCCGACAAACAATTACCTATCTGAGAACTTATATAGAATTTCTGGCTATATAAATGTGAACTGTTCCAGAGAGCATAGAATGTATATCCGTACTGAGACAGACGGAGTCTTGGTATTGTTCCATCGTCTCAGTGAAAAACTGCCAGAAAAGCAAATGTTTCATTTAAAATGGTCAATTTAAGCGAGATTACTTTTTTTCACTGAAATATGTATAGGAGAAGCAGTTTACGTGCTGGTTTTATATTGGAAGACAAACGGAATACTTTTTCGCCTTTGCTTCGTAAGATTGTTTGTTAAACATTTGTCGGAAATGCCAGTCAGAAAAACAGGCATTGTGAATACATTGAATTTAAATGAGTGGGGTAGTTAGATCGGACGCGGATTTGAACAGCATTGTCATGAAACTCATATTCGCTGATAAGTTAAACCACTGTTGATATACTAAAGATCTTAACCAAAGCTAATTTTGGATTTGAACCTACGGCTGCTGCAGTTGGCCACTTAAACCACTACACATAATATTAACCGTTCATTGTATTGTTTAGTTCAATAAACTGACATGAATTCTAATCATACAGAATTTGCATCTCTTCCTTATTTCACGTGGGTAGAAAATACACAACATGTTGTACGCAGCATATGTATGTAGGAAGTCCCACAATTCCATTACAATCCGTTGCAATTAAATATCACAATATCACGTGGTATACACAGCAAATAGAGCTAGACAATTTCCACGACAGCTTGCACAACACGAACAGGACGCAAACAAATAGACACTTTGTCAAACCCAAGACTGAGGCGTGGGTGTGTTTGAATTGTTCCGAGAGTATCTTCCGTATTCCATGTATCTTTTATTCCTGTAAACGAACAACATCCTCAGTTCTTGTCTGAAGTAGGCCCCAGTTATGCTGTACAGGAAGAAGTTAATGCAATAGTTCATGTAGAATATGACTCTGGTTATGAGCAGAGAACCTTGGAGTCCCGGAAAGATCACCACTTCCGATGCGGATAAGAGGAATTGTTTGCACCACACACAGAAGAAGGGGAGATTAAGCATGATGAAAACAAATGATACCACAAGAAGGATGATGGTGAACTCTAACCTGATGATACTCTCTTCTGTGATGACATTACACTGCTTGTGGCGGCGATATCGCATGTACAGCTTTCGGATGATCATGGTGTTGAGAACGGTGATGATCATAAATGGCACAAGAGTTATGGAGACTGCGAAGATACTGTCCAGGGTGAAGGATACAAATTTCAGGTTAGGATCAGCCGTACAGCGCTGAACATTGGTCGGTTGCAGTGTGTAAACCCCACTCAGAATCGGTTTGTACATCATCAGACACATGCTGATCACAACGAGGCTCCCAATAACCTTTTGTGCACATCTACTTCCGCAAATATCCTTCCGCCGCAGCGGATGACATACGCCGATGTATCTCTCCACTGTGAACGTAACGATGAACCATGCCGACAAAAATCTACAAACGTAGGACAGATACAAAGCTATTTGACAAACGCCATGCGTCTCTAAAAACTCGGGTTCATGATGACCCGAGAAAAACGGAAGTCCCCGCCTCAGCCAATCAACAAGGACGTAAAATACAAGCGCCATGATGTCCGACGTTGATAAGGCAGCTAGGTATGTGCTGGCAGAGAGTTTCCGCATATTTCTGGAGACAAACACACGGAGGGACAAGATGTTTCCTGTGAGTCCAATGATGAGGATGACGGGGGTGAAGTAGGAGTAGAACGCCTGGCTGTATGTGATGAATCCGGGCTCCTGGTTGTGGCAAGATGACCTGTTGAAGGTCACGTTCATCTTCAAGAAGGCCATGACCTCTTCCACCCCTTCTTGGCGGCATGGGTCGTCTGTGATGTTATCCTGAAAACATAGAACGTAGCGTTACATCATAGTGTTAGTTCTATAGTTAAAAATACATTAGTTCACATTGCAGTAGCAACACCACTTATAAACATTGACTGCACAAACACACACAAATAAAACATGTAAACCACTGACGAAACTAACAAAGAAACGACAAACATAATTCAGCCGAATTAACATTCATGAATTCGTAAGATATTCTAACATATGTTTCAGCAGGTGCTGTCTAATATCAAGCAAGATGAAAATAAAACACCATTCTTACAATTTGTAAGAGCTATGTAGGATCGCGATTATTGCTTGAAACAACATAAACTGTGTAATCAATACACAACCTATTCAAACGCTCTCATTAACGTCTACATATATAGATTCAACAGGAGAAAGCAATGACAACAAACCATTATAAAAAACTAAAGTTTAAAGGAAATTCAACAAAGTATCGTAAATATATTGAACCTTTTAGCAATGTTCAGCCAGTTAAATGACAACAGAATCTAACGAAAATGTAATGACTACAAATCGTCTTAAGAAATGCAATGGATATATAAAATAGATGTATTCAGCGAAATATTATTTTTCAAAAACAAGATACATGTCATTGGCGTTTGTAGTGATATGAAAACGTCCTACCATGATGGCACAGGTTTGTCCCAGGCACTCTAACTGTCATTCATACACCGAATAATTTCACAAGATTCCCCCGCACCGTCGCTACTGCTAATGGTATCGCAGTGGCTTGCACAAGAGTTTGTCATAGACTTGCATGAAGATGGAAGCTCATTGTATGATGTTACCATAGCAACTAACTCATTGAAACAGGTGTCACATGTCGCTTCTCTCACAGTGAACATATTTTGATTGTGTTGGTGCATAGAACATCTGACATCAGATCGATATAGACAAGTTATGTATGCAGGTGACAAGATGCTGCGGAAACAGATCAGTCTGCCGGTAACTGGAAGTGGATATGCTGTTTTCAAATACCCTGCATCCTGCGGTGTTGGTACGGCACAGTATTACATTACTGATCAGGTGGTGGAGATATCTCCTTGACAATTTGAGTTAAGATTAGCTCCTGATAGGCAAGACGCCGAGGCTTGTCTCAAGCGATATATGAAACATGACAATATCAAATGTATTGGAGTTTTCTTTTATTAAAGCGGTCTTCTGACATTAAAAGATCCATGTATTGCTTGTCTGTAAATAATCTTCTTTTCTACGTCTCGAGTTGTGATTGCTACTGACAGTGACGGAAAAGTTCAAAATATATATTGATTCATGTTATGTGATTTATCAAGCAAAACACAGACATCCTGTATCTTCAATACCCAGCTCGTTGTCACTATCCGTGCAGCTTGATGGATGTATACCACGAAAGGACAGGTCTTAATTTTAGCCACAACTTGACAGTACTGATAGTTTTAACAGGTTTCTTCCCTTTCGAGAATAACGCGAGAATAAGAAAATGTGATGTACATGTGGTGTTTTGAGTGTTCGAACACTCGTAAAACAGGCTCTATAACCTTTACTTCATGTATCCTTTACCCTTACTTCATGTATCCTTTACATAATAAACCGCCTCCGTAGTGTAGTGGTTGGTGTAAATGAGTTTAGTTTTCCGCCGCACTCAGAACTATTCCAGCTATTTGGCGGCGGTCTGTAAATAATCGAGTCTAGACCAGACAATCCAGTGATCAACACCATGAGCATCGATCTAAGCAATTGGGAACCGATGACATGTGTCAACCAAGTCAGCGCGCCTGACCACCCGATCCTGGTAGCCGCCTCTTACGATAAGCATAGTTGCCTTTTGTGGCAAGCATGGGTTGCTGAAGACCTATTCTACCCCGGATCTTCACGGGTCTCGAATGCTGGAAAGTTGGATTGTGGATTCACATAAATGTTGGATGAACATAAGGACGATTTCATTATAAAGATGGCAGCAGAGTATCTCATTGTAGGTCAGTTCTAACCCGGACCTTTACGTGTGTAGTCGTTAGAGCGTCCGCCCGGAGAGCGGAAGGTTGCTGGTTCGATCCCGTCCTCGTAATACTAAAAGACGTTAAAATATGGTATGTGTTGTTCCCTGCTTGGCGCCCGGCATTAATGGGTACAACAGGATTGGTAGGCTATTGCTTGACTGCAGCATCGTACCTCACCTTTTCATAGTGAAATGGAGACTGACGGAGAATGCACAGGGAACACCAAGCTGACAATATTTCATACTGACAGCTAAGAGCACCGTGAACTGACTTCCAGATTGTTCTCTGCAAGACACATGATATTGATGTTGTGGTATTTAGACTTCTTGGTTAGAGAAGGGGGCGTCAGAATATGTACTGATAGTTTGTGATTTTATCAATTCCTTTTCTGGTTGGATGACTGTCCCTAAGCAAAAAACAATAAATTGGAGGTGGTGTGTGGTCTTGTGCATAGAGCACAGATCACTGATCCGTCGAAGCTAAGCAACGTTGGGCGCGGATGCGTGACCGTGTTTGACAGCTTGACTCCTGAGAGTTTTTAGGACAACTGTCCCGCCCCACAACGAAGCACACATGACATACGTGGTGTCACCTCAGGCAAGTGGGTTTGTTTATAATTGCCTCTGTTCACCCAGCAGAAATTAGGTACCCGGTGGGATAAGTCATAGGACTATAAACCATAATGTGCCTCACATGCATCATGTTATAGCTACTTACGGCATGTCCCTGCGGTGTGGGGTTCAACGCCATATATACACTCTCTCAAAAAGAAACGCAACCCCTATCTAAATATCTGACATCATTTCTAGAACAAAGATGGTGAATGTAAATTAGAATTTTCTTCAAAATACTGTTAATACGTTCCCATCTGATCAGTATAAGCTCCCAAACGGAACCATTTTCACACATGATGACCTTTGTATCCGTGTTATTTGAGAAAGTGCGAAATTGTCATGTACAAAATGCTAAAAGCCTGTTGCACGTGCAAATCGTTGAAAACACAGTTTATGTAGAGGTTTTAAAAGCACGCGTAGTTTGTAATTTTTTCTCATAATTTGCTCTGCAAATCAAGTTCGAAAATGCCCCGTTTGAGTACAGCAAATCGAAATATTACCATTGGTCGCATTGAGGCCGGGGAAAGCTTTGGAACAGTTGCCCGTCATCTAAACGTACACAAAACAACAATCTCACGACTTTGGAATCGTTACACACAGTTCCATGCAATTGAAGATCGTCCAGGGCGGTAGACCTAGGATCACCACACCGGCTCAGGATCGCTTTATTCGACTCAGCCACCTACGTAACCGGCATGCCACACCCACCATCACTGCAACACAGGTGCCAGGTTTGAGGAAGTATCGGCCCAAACCATCAGGAACCGTTTACATGAAACAAATTTACGTGCAAGAAGACCAGTTGTTGGGCCCGTCTTGAAACGCCAACATCGACGCCAACGTCTCAGGTGGTGTACTAACGTAAGGGAGATGGACCCTAAGAAACTGGAGAAGAGTCTGGTTTAGTGACGAGTCTCGTTTTCTTCTTCAACGACGTGACGGTAGACAATAACGTGTCTATAGACGAGCAAATGAACGTTTTGCACCGAACTGCGTTCGACAGGTCTACAGATTTGGAGGAGGAAACATCATGGTATGGGAGCCATGTCTTACAACCAACGGTCAGACTTGGTCATCATTCGTGGCAATTTGACGGCACAACGGTACATTGATGACGTCTTACAGCCACATCTTCTGCCGATAATCGACCAACAGAGGAGTTGTTTCAACATGACAATGCATCCTGCGGTGTTGGTACGGCACAGTATTACATTACTGATCAGGTGGTGGAGATATCTCCTTGACAATTTGAGTTAAGATTAGCTCCTGATAGGCAAGACGCCGAGGCTTGTCTCAAGCGATATATGAAACATGACAATATCAAATGTATTGGAGTTTTCTTTTATTAAAGCGGTCTTCTGACATTAAAAGATCCATGTATTGCTTGTCTGTAAATAATCTTCTTTTCTACGTCTCGAGTTGTGATTGCTACTGACAGTGACGGAAAAGTTCAAAATATATATTGATTCATGTTATGTGATTTATCAAGCAAAACACAGACATCCTGTATCTTCAATACCCAGCTCGTTGTCACTATCCGTGCAGCTTGATGGATGTATACCACGAAAGGACAGGTCTTAATTTTGAGCCACAACTTGACAGTACTGATAGTTTTAGCAGGTTTCTTCCCTTTCGAGAATAACGCGAGAATAAGAAAATGTGATGTACATGTGGTGTTTTGAGTGTTCGAACACTCGTAAAACAGGCTCTATAACCTTTACTTCATGTATCCTTTACTCTTACTTCATGTATCCTTTACATAATAAACCGCCTCCGTAGTGTAGTGGTTGGTGTAAATGAGTTTAGTTTTACGCCGCACTCAGAAATTTTCCAGCTATTTGGTTGCGGTCTGTAAATAATCGAGTCTAGACCAGACAATCCAGTGATCAACACCATGAGCATCGATCTAAGCAATTGGGAACCGATGACATGTGTCAACCAAGTCAGCGCGCCTGACCACCCGATCCTGGTAGCCGCCTCTTACGATAAGCATAGTTGCCTTTTGTGGCAAGCATGGGTTGCTGAAGACCTATTCTACCCCGGATCTTCACGGGTCTCTATTTTGTTGTTAATGGCAACTAAGAATAGAATGCTGGAAAGTTGGATTGTGGATTCACATAAATGTTGGATGAACATAAGGACGATTTCATTATAAAGATGGCAGCAGAATATCTCATTGTAGGTCAGTTCTAACCCGGACCTTTACGTGTGTAGTCGTTAGAGCGTCCGCCCGGAGAGCGGAAGGTTGCTGGTTCGATCCCGTCCTCGCAATACTAAAAGACGTTAAAATATGGTATGTGTTGTTCCCTGCTTGGCGCCCGGCATTAATGGGTACAACAGGATTGGTAGGCTATTGCTTGACTGCAGCATCGTACCTCACCTTTTCATAGTG